TTAGCTTTTTTGTTTTAAGAGACACACAAACAAAAAACCCCACTCAGGCATATATAATCAATTACATCTCCAAAGGGCACATTTTGCAAGTCTGCTCCCGGCCACCAGTTCCTAGTCCTTCTCTTCCTAGTTGATGAATCTAGAGTCCTCCATGCCCCCATCTCTATCTCCATCTCTGGTGCCGCTGCTTCTCTGGATAAGGGCCCACATTCCATCCATGCACTCCTCTCTTGATGGTCCTAGGGTCCTCCGTTCCTGGACTGCAAGATTAATCACTCCCCCCTTTTTTTTTTCATTGATGTCTTTTTAAAGATTGTTTGCATACTCTCATTTGTTTAGTCAGCGAATGCTCACAGCAGCCTGTTGTAAATGCCATCAAATAGATTCTGACTCATAGCAAACCTGAAAAAGTTTTCCAAAGAGCAGCTAGTAGGGTTGAACCTCCAACCTTGTGTATATCAATCCAGTGCTTATCCTACAGTGCCACCCCAGGACTCCACAGCAGCCTAGTGGTGAAGAAAACACGATTATCCCTATTAACAGAGAGGAAAGCGAAGCTCAAAAGACTTACTAACTTGGGCCTGTCTGACTTCAAAACTCATGATATTTTTACTGTGCCACAATGCCTCCCAACTAGATCATGTCTAAGAATTTTCAGGAAAAGTACATTCATTCTAAATGTTAACTGGTCCCTAGCTATATTTTGCATGATAAAAATAACAAAAACAAAAAAACCTTTAATCAAAATCTAACTCCAGAAAAAACACATTTCTATCATGCTAGTTAATAGGAAGACTGGAGAAGAATTGATGCATTTGAATTATGGTGTTGGAGAAGAATAGTGGAAGTACCAAGGACTGCCAGAAGAACAAAAAACCTGTGTCAGGAAGAAGTCCAGCGCATTAAAAGCGTGGATAGTGAAACTTTGCCTCACATACTCTGGGCAAGTTATCAAGAGGGACCAGTCCCTGGAGAAGAACATCCTGCTTGGTAAAGTAGAGGGTCAGTGAAAAAGAGGAAGACCCTTAATGAATCGATTGACACAGTGGCTGCAACAATGGGCTTCAAACATAATAACAATTGTGAGGATGGTGCAGGACTAGGCAATGTTTTGTTCTGTTGTGCAGAGGGTCATTAATGATACTGAGCAACAGTAATAGAATTTACAGTTGAAAGGCAGCTTGGAATAGTCTTGGATTTAGACTTCGGGGGATTGAAGTCAGGTTCAGCTCATTGTTCCCAGGGCTGTGAGTTTGGGGAATCGCTTATTCTTCTGAGCCTCATCCATAAGATAGTGACACTAGCCATTGCCTGCCTAGCTAGCAGGGTTGGTCAGGACCAGAGATAAAAGAGAGAGACTACCTAGCCCTGTGCTAGGAGCCCTGATAACACTGTGGTTGAGCAGTTGGCTGCTAACCTAAAGGTTGGCAGTTCATACCCATCAGCCACTCCTTAGGAAAAAGATGTAACAATCTGCTCCTGTAAAGATTATAGTCTTGGAAACCCTATGGGGCAGTTCCATTCTATAGAGTCTATGAGTCAGAATCCACTGGACAACAATGGGTTTGGTTTCCTTTTTTAGCACTGTGCTTAACATGAAGGAAGTATCTATTTACATTTTAATCATTGTTATAATTACTATTTCTATTATTATTGTCAGTATTAATAGTAATCAGAATACACACTTCCCTTGTAATGGAAACACTGTGATCTTGTATGCACCTATCTAGATATGTAATTAGAGGCCTGGAACATGGATTGATTTTTACATGAGTCTTTTCTTTTGCCTTAGCTGAGACCCAGATTCTCCATCCCATACCTGCAGGTCAGTTAACTTCTATCAGCCACCTCACTGAAATGCGCATTTAGTCAGCAAAGGGAGCTTGGCTAGACAGAATGGATAGATTAGGTCAACTCACCAACAGTTTTGGATACATAATTTAATAATAGTAGCAATTTAATGGGAGTGTAGTGGCTATGTGGGATAAGCGCTGGACTGTGAACCGCAAGGTCAGCAGTTGGAGCCCACTAACTGATCCACAGGAGAAAAATGAGGCTTTCTGGTCCCTCAAAGATTTATAGCCTTGGAAACTTTATAGAGAGTTGCTATGAGTTGGACAATGGTAACTTAATAGTTTGATGATGCTTTTTACATTTTCTGGGTGATTCTATGTATATTTGTTCCTTGTGAGAGAAGTAATATAGGCAGCTCAGTCTGCTTTCCCTCAGTTGTGGCACATACTGTGTGTCCCTGGGGAAGTTATTTACTGTTCTGTGCCTCAGTATCTTCAAGTGTGGCGTAATCACAACTCACAACTCATAGGTTCTTATGAAGACCAGTGAGCTAACGCCTAGTACAGTGACCAACACAGTGCTCAATATCAGAAACAATAGGGAAGCCCAGGCATTCTTTCCCATTTTACTTGTCAAATTCTCTTAAAAGAGCTATCCCTTATGGCACACCTTATCCTAATTAATTCTCACCTGACTTGAAGGAAAAAACTCACTTGGGGGCCACACAGCTGGTAAAGTTGAGGCAAGAGTCCAGGCTTCTGCTTTCTGATCTGCTTTTCCTAGAATACCAACCTACCACTTATATTCCACTTGGCAGTTCCTAGGACTGGCCAGCCTGCTCTTCATATGCTGTTTGGCAATCCTAGGGTTGATGATACTTTCTTTAAATAAATATTGTACTTTATAAGCTTGTAAAGTACAATATTGCTTCTCTGAAGCAATTAATTTTTTTTTAAAGTTATATTACTGGCATCTTGTCTGGATTTAGAATTGCTTAAATAATACCCCAAAACACCTTGATAAGTTAGATTCAACAATCTTACATTCAACTTTATAGAATACAATGGTTTAGTGGAACTTATGACAGCAAATCATTCAGGTTTTCTCTGGGTCTTTTTCCAATTGTTGAAGATCTTGAGATTGGGGGCCAGCACTCACTCTCAGTTCGTGGTTCCATTATGTGTCACAGCTGCACTTACTCTAGGCCAGTAGTTCTTAAGAATCAACATGAAGGCTTGTTCAACCATAGATTCACCAAGTTTCTGGGTCTGTAGATGGAGGATTTGCATCTCTTTTCCATGAGACACTGATTCTACTGGTCTGAGTACTACATTTTGAGAACCAGTGTTCAAGACCAGGGGTTGGCAACTTTTGTTTGTAAAAAAACCAGATAGTTAATATTGTAGCCTTTATGGGCCATGTGGTCTCTGTCACAACTGCTTAACTCTGCCTTATTATAGGTCAAAAGCAGCCACCAACAATTTTGAGTGAATGTTGTTAAGTGCCTTCGAGTCGGTTCCGACCCATAGCGACCCTGTATAGGAGCAGCTGGTGAGCTTGAACCACCAACCTTGCAGTTCAAACGGCTTTGCAGTCTGGCGCATTAACCCACAGCGTCACACCAGGACTCCTTTGAGTGAATAACCATGGTTATATCCCAAATGGGAGTGTGGTGACTCCATAAGATAAACACTGGACTGAGAACCACAAGGACCACGGTTCGAGCCCACCAGCCTCTCTGCAGGAGACAGCTGAGGCTTTCTGCTCCCGAGAAGATGTAAAACCTCAGAAACCCTATACATTGTTGCTATGAGTCAGAACCGACTCAACGTTACAACAATACATTCCAAATGTCTTATTTATGTGTACTGAAATTTTAATTTCATATAATGCAATGTGTTACAGAATATTATTTTGATTTTTTCCAACTGTCTACAAATGTAAAAACCAGTTTTAACTTGTGAGATGTGTAATGACAGGAGCAGGCCAGATTTACCCCCTGGGTATGTAGTTAGCTGACCCTCTCATAGACCAACACTTTCCAAATGTTCTCCCATGCAGATGTGACATGTTGAGAATTTTTAAAAACTATTTATTATAAAAGTCATATAAGTGTATGGTTTTTGGCTTTGTTTTTAATCTAATAGTAGAGAAAAAACATCTTCAAGAAGTCTCCCTTCCAACACAGGCTTTAAAACTAACCATTGTTGATAAACTTTGATTTTCACAAGTTTTATAGGCTTACACAAGCTTACATAAATGTGTAGACCGTTTTGCATTAGTAGGCTTATTTATACGTTTTGCTCAACACCCCTTCCACCCCTCCTTAACAATGTATTGTTACCTCTTTCCATATCAAAATGTAGAGATGATTTAACTTATTCTTTTTAAAGGCTCTGTAAGTTTTCTGTTTTCTGGATATGTCAGAGTATATTTAACCAGTTCACTATTGATGAACGTTTGGATTGTCCTCCTACTGCGGTGAGAGCCCATCTTTACACATTGGTCAGTGTGCACAGCCAAGGTAATAGCTGCAGGATCAAGTCTAGAAGATGAATTGCTGATTCAAAAGAGATGCGCATTTCCAATTTTGATAGCTGTTTCTAAATTCCTATCGCGGGTACTTTAGGAGCCTGTGTTCATTTTCCTTTTGGGGTTAAACTACACATTTTGCCACTTGGTCTTTATCTGACTTGAGCATTCATCACAGTGAATTTCAGTATAATGCTTCACTGCACGTTAGCTTAACACAGAGCAGTAATCCTATGGAGGGCAAAAAGTGCAGCTGGCAATTTGTCCATGTTTCTTGAAAGGAAACCGGCATTAAAAAGTGTAAAGCCATCACAACAGTGCCCTGAATCCAGGATTATCTTGGACACTGCCACGGAAGATACTGGTTTTGTTCCCTTTTTCTTACAAACCTGGGGCTTAGCAGATGTTTCTATATGTTTATTTCCCATTAAAGTAGAGTTTTCCATTGCCAAACATTTATATAGTAAACATAGTATTAGCTAATAAATAAGCAGTGCCACTATTTTGCTAGAACTTAGAATACCACTGCTTTCCTTTCTATTTGAGGCTTTTCCTTTCTGAGCCAATAAAAGATTCAAATAATGATTTAATAGATAACAACACAGCATCTTAAGTGCAGCACTGCCTTAGGTTGTTTTTGTTTTAACTTAAACGATGTCTATTTCTGCTCATAGGTTGCCACAGAATTTTCTCTTCACCACTCAATCACACCTACTCACACAAGCAGCCGGGCAGTCCACAAAGAAGAAATTTATTTTTCCGGAGACAAAGAGATATTTCACACAGTATAGTTTTGCCGGCTGCAGTTTCTCCAGCTCATCCAGTCCCTAAGGTACTGTATTGCCTCTAATCTGCTACTTTTTCCAGATAATAGGTTTGTGTGTGTGTGTGTATAGTGACTGCAGACACCATCAAATGCTTTCTAAGGCATTTGAATCATGGTTTGTTATTTAAAACACAAACACATGATATTAGAAGTTCTAACATCCTGCAATTGTCACATTAATTCTTTTAAAAAAGCAGAAGTGCTGAGCTACTTAGCTCATTTAGAATGAAAATTTCTATCATGAACTTTTCTATATGAAACTCCTGGCATGAAGATAACGCTACACATTTGTAGTTTCCTAACTTCTGTAGAGGAAAAAAACTGATTTCTTTTTTTTTTTCAAGAGTGATGAGTTGAAACCAGAATACTAGATATTGTTCCTAAAGCCTGCTCTTACAGTTTCCATGTTATTGATGGCGTGCTTTGAATTGTTCTTCAGAGTAAATTAAATAAAATGTGTCAGAGAATTCTTGATTTTTTTTTTTCAGAGCTTACAATTTTGTAGAAAAGCAATCTATCAATTTTTCAAAATGCAATACGAAGGAGGTGTGTAAATCATTCAGGAAGAACAAGAATAGCTAAAAGAAATATAGATCTGTCTCAAAGACCACCTGCTTTCCCCTTTTTTAAGCTTTTTTTTAATCAGTGAACTCATATAGGTATACTATACAGGTAGTAGTATCCTGGTTCCTGGTTACAGGAGCCCTGGTGGGGTGCTGTAAGATAAGCACTAGACTGCTAATGGCTGTTCAAACTCACCAGTCACTCGTTGGAAACCCTATACTGACTCAACAACACATAACAACAACAACCATGGTTACAACCATCTTACTTACAAACAACTGTAGTTATGAACCAATCCTGTAAAGTCTATTTATTAAAACTTTGAAGTACATGCAATGATTTATAATAACATATGGACCCTACTTTATGACATTCATCAAAACAGTATTATTGTTGAAAAGAGATGGGATAAGATTCTTATGATTCAGTAGGAATTGTTATCATGACTAATTGCAATTGTCACAACTGTAAAGGGAGAAAACAAAAAGAAGAGGGGAGGAAATTAATCTTACATTCAAGAAACAGAGACTCCTAGTACCATCAAGGGAGAAGAGCACTAGTGGAATGTGTGACCCTATCCAGAGAAGCAGCAACACCAGAGATGGAGGCAGAGATGATGACATGGAAAGAGGGAGCAGCTGATACTCATGGAAAGAGAAAGGGTGTATGCTGGCAGCCAGGAGGCAGGCTTGCAGAATATGCCCTTTGGTTGTTTAAATTATATATTTCTGAGTGTTTTTGTGTACATTCAAAAAAAGCCCCCCAAACAACAGAGAATAAAAGAAATAGAAGCAAATACTGTTAAGTGATGATGCACAGAGGAGATTGTAATCATTGTAATGAAATGAAATACGATAGAATGAGTGTAAAACCGATGTTCTCCCATGTAAACTATCACTCAATTCACAATAAAAAGTTAACCCCCCAAAAAAAGTCTATCATGCAAAAAATTAAAAACCTATTATTATTACTAAATTATTATGTTAAAGATGTTTTAGTGTTTCTTTTTTTTAATGCATAGGAAAGTTCATTATATACTATGTACTAAGACAAACATTTGACTAACTAATATTAAATACAAACCTGTTTCTACTTATATACAAATTTGACTTAAAGACAGATTTAGGAACAGAATTTGGGAACAGAATTACTTCATCATCCGGGACAGTAATCTGGGAACTGCCTGGATTACCCGGAGGTAGGTGGAGCATTTTCCTGACAAAGGCTGACAAGCAGACGGGCCACCAGAGCCCAGAGCACATTCCTGCTTGGTGGAAGTCCATCCATCAGAGCAAGGGCCAGCACTTGGCATTACTCACAAATTGACATTTATTTTCTTTGTCAAAAAGTAAAAGAAATCTTCAGAGAGGTAACTGAGTATTGTTTTAGAATATCAGTGAGGATCCAACAGTCCTTCTGCCTGTAACTATAACCTCGTGAGATCCCAGAGCAGAAATATGTGCACAGACTCTTTGTGGGTGAAGCCATGGGAGACCAGCTCTGGTAATACCTGTGTCAAAAGGCCCAACAAAAATGATACTAAGTAAAGGCCTGAAATCTTGTATGATGCACTTCACAAAAAGGAGGTCCCTAACCTCCCTAATGCCTGTGATGTTTCAATTGAATAGTGTTGTCTCCCTCAGCTTCCTGTCCCAAACTGATGTATAACTTTACTGTGTACTGTTCAGCAATGCTTATGTAGCAGTTTCTAGAAATAGTTTGTGAAGAATGCTACAAAACCTGGGACTGAAAGAAGTTCAGTGTAGAAGACATTCTTTATTTTCTGGGTTCTGTCCATGGATTTAAGTAAGTAGTATAGAATGTTCGACATGGGTTGTATATTGTGTGTTTAGCAGGGAGGTTGTTTTTGTTTTTGATAAGTGATGTAACTGTTCTAGGTAGTTTTATGTACTTATGAAAAAAAAATATTTAAAAAAAGAAAGCGATTTTATTTTCTTTCTCCAACTCTGCCTCCCTTCCCCCAACCACACACACTCCCGTTATTGGGTATGTTCCAACATATAAGAAAAGTGTATGTGTAATAGGCTTCAATGGACTTGGCAGTCAGCCTTTTTACATATATTCATTCAGAGAGGGTGTTGTGAGCTATCTTTTGCATAAATTTTATCTTTGAGGAAAGAAGATGAAAGTGCCCTTAATTAGCCGTTTGGCAATTTGGAAGCTTGGCGCTATTTTTCATCAATGGCAACATGTTTCTAACGAGGTTGGGAGGAGGAAGGAAAGAAAACTACTGTTTGTTTTCACCAGAAGTCTACTTGAGTCCAGCTTGACTCAAAGCATAGTAAGGTTAAGGGACCATCCAGAGGCAGTACTAACAGGCAGTGTTAAGTTCAAAAGGGCAGGGGAAGGAACTAGGGGCAGCCTGGAGGGTCTGTTGTACCCGTTTCTGGAGGTCGGTGCTCCGGCAGGAAGGGCAGAGCTCCATGAAGCAGGAGGCTGTGTCTGAGAAAATGATCCCATTGTCGTGCTCTGGGTTCTGATCTTCATTTTCAATCTTTTTTCCTCAAGCACATAAAGAAGCCAGACTATGTGACGACAGGCATTGTACCCGACTGGGGAGACAGCATAGAAGTTAAGAATGAAGATCAGATTCAAGGACTTCATCAAGCTTGTCAGTTGGCCCGTCATGTCCTCCTCCTGGCTGGGAAGAGTTTAAAGGTGGCGTCTCACCAAGCCTCAGAAGCACTCACATAAGGGATAACAAACCCTCCTTTTTGTGCCCTTTCCCTTTAACTTTGCTTTTGTGTACATCTAATCTATTAAAAATTCAATACGGCCTTGGGATGGGGAGAAAGAGATTTTATTATTTCATATGTATATTCAAAAGGTGATGCTGAATCCAAATTAAGTTTTAAGTAACAGAATTCTGGAAATACTTTTGGCTGAATCACTCTTTCCAAGTTGATCAATGGCAGATGGCTTTGACTTTTGCTCCCTTCCTCTTGCCTGTAGTTTCTGCTTTCATTCCCTGTGTTATTTCTGTGTGCCTGGTGAGTTGCTCTATCCTCTAGCTCCTATTCTATTGCATTATCTCTGCAAAGAAAGACCAGACCAAGAACACAAAGCTGTAGGTAGTATAACGACATAATTATGTGTATCTGCCCTGTTACAAGATTCTGTTCTTTCGGACCTAAATAAAGGTCCAAAAAGAAAATGTGGCTGGCAGTTACCAAAAGGTGGGCAGAATTTAGGAAGCAGGACTTGACGATGAAACCCATGGTGGTGTCACCTGTGTGATAAACTAAGCAGAATGTGAACATAAAATAACATGAAAGAAACTACCACGGAAATCATTCATTTTTAAATAAAAAAGCTTTCTTTTTGTATTAGAATAATTTTATGATTTAAGAGTTTATAGAAACAGTCTTCATGCACTCATAAAATTTTATTTTAATTTTCTTTTCGTTTAGGGGCAGTTGAATACCTGCTTTAAAAAAAAATCATCCAAATTCACTGCCTTCAAATTGATTCCAATGTATAGCGACCTTGTAGATCCAAGTAGAACTGCCCCATACAATTTCCAATACTGTAAATCTTTACAAAAGCAGACTGCTGTATCTTTCTCCTGTAGAGCGGCTGCTGGACTTGAACCACTGGCCTCTGGTTAGCAGCCAATTTCTTTAACCACTGTGCCACTAGGGCTCCTGTATACCTTCTAATGAGGGGGAAAGCTTTAAAATTTTTTATTTATTTATTTAGATATTAAAGAAATCAAGTTTAGTGGAAACCAAATCTCTACAAATGTATCAGACTCCACTTTTAAAATGGCTGTCAAACCCATGTCAGTGTTTCATGGAGAAACATTTGCCCTGCTTTGGGGTTGACCTGCTTTTCAAGCTTTGTCATCTAAACGGAATACCTTTTGAGCATTTATACCCCCCAGTTATCCCAAGATGTTAACCATTAATGAAGAAGAAGGCATTTTGCCTAAGAACATACTTTTGAAATCTGCCAGCTAACAAGGAGTCATGTCATTTCATGACTTACAAATGATTTAAGAACCCTAGAGTTTAGAATTTCCATTTCCTAATAGGTGATAACACCATCATATTCCCAAATGAATGTCAAAAAGCACAGTTTAGGATTTTAGCACTAATCATACATAATTAAGATATTGTCCACGTGTTTGTTGCAGTAAATTTATACAATCTTGACAGGAAGTACTATTGCTATAGGCATAGGTAATAAATACAGAAAATGTCTTCAAGTGTCGCTGCATCATTTCTTTATTTACTATTTTAGGTTGACATGACAACTGAAGAGATAGATGCCCTTGTTCATCAGGAAATCATCAGTCATAATGCCTATCCCTCACCTCTAGGCTATGGAGGGTTTCCAAAATCTGTGTGTACCTCTGTAAACAACGTGCTATGTCATGGTATTCCTGACAGGTAATTATTTCTTAATAACATATTGTTCCTTTGAAAGCTAAAACAGGAAACCAAGATCTGTAACATAAGTTGAAAGACATGTTAGTTTAATTGAAACCCACCTGCAAACTTCTAAAGTTGATATGGTAAAGCAAAAATGTTGAAGCTCTTTGCTTCCAAATGTACATAACTCCGCCATTTAATGTTTCTTGCAGCAGTATGTAATCCAGAAAAGTAGTTGTGTATTAAATATGTCTTTTACTTCTTTGATTTTAACCCTATAAAGGATAAAAATACAAATGTTGGCAAATACAGTTATTCACTATTGTTTTGACTCTGCAAAATTAAGGCAACCAGTAACTACATCTTCTTAAGACTGATGGATTCTTAAACAATGGAAGTATATTTATACTATGTATTTTTTATAAAAATGGATGTGATTAACAAAAGTTAACGATTAGACATTGTTATCTCATGTTTTCCTCCTCCACTCCAAATTAGCTCTGCGAGTTCATTGGACTTTGTGATAATGGTCACTAGGCATTTATTTGTATACTTCTTTTATTGAGGTCTGTCTATCACCATTTTATTTTATTTTTTTCTGTTTATGTTTCAGTCGACCTCTTCAGGATGGTGATATTATCAACATTGATGTCACGGTGAGTAAATCATATAAAAAATAGTCTTTGATCAACTTCAGAATTGCTGGTAGCAACAGGAAGAAGAGTAGATTGAAAATGTGAACTGCACCGATGGAAGTGCTGTTTACTTCTAGACCCAGACGCAAGCAGCTGGTTTCCTTTTTTGTCTTTAACTGTGTGTTTATTCCAAGTAAACCCAGGCCTGAGTCGAATTTAGGGCTGGAATCAGATGCACTGAGATCAATGTTGGCCTAAGTGAAATGTCAACCCAATCCTGCTATGTGTCATGTTTTTGAGAAGGTGTAATTGTTATTGATCCACTGTGTAGCTAATGCAGAGCACCACAGTACTGGGCAGCTGCTGAAGCTAGATATGTATGAGATGAGCTAACACGAAGAAAGCCAGCATTTTTCCTTCACTCTGCCAAGATTGATCTCCCTCTTCCTGCTGATTTTGAGTGGGGCCTGTCATTATCTTACTCTGTCATTAGGGGCTACATTGGCCTGTGTGTGTCAGTCTATTTGGACAGCAGCTCTTTTGCTAACAGTGTTCCCTAGATTTATTAAAATCCCTGAAGGTAGCGTGTATTCCATTTCTGGCATAGAGAGCCTTGAACTCGACACATGCAAGCAGAATAGTTTTCTCTGTATACTTAACTTTTCACCAAATGGTTAATGGCCTTTCTTTTAAATAACAAGCCTGATTTTACATAGGAACTTAACTGTAGAAGCTCTAACCTTTTCTAATTTTCTTAGCCTTTCATCGTACACCTTCTCAAATGTGGATTATCTGTGCTTTGGTAGTTCTTTTACTATTATTATTAATTGTATGGTGCCTTTGAGTATGTAAAACATAAATTTTATACATCTGCTGATGAATAAATAACTTTAAAATAATTATGTAAAATTTAAAACATCTGATGAGACTTAGCTATGATAGAGGCATTCAAGGAATACAGATTTTATTAATAAAGAAATACTTTTAGTAATAGTCATTTTCTATCCAAACCATGAAACTCAAGTAGGGGTAGGAATGAGGTACGTAATAATTGAAGCCAGTGAAAATTTTAATTGTTTGAATTAATACAACCTTTTTCCATCCTATCGATTTGTGCTAGAGTATCAAAGATTCTTGTATTGTTGATGTTTCCTGTTTCATTTTTTCCTACTTAGGACACTTGAACATTTGCTCCACATATATTCTGTTGGCATCTTTCCAACTCAGAACTGTACAGAAGGGGGGCATTTTAGGAAGTATACTTGAAATAAATAGTTTTCATGATACACTTTTCTTTTGGATTGTACCTGATTTTAGGGTTTTATCTCTCTTTATTAGCTCACCTAATCACCTCCAAATAAAATATGACTACTTTAAATGAAATCATTGTACTCTTCCTTACTGCTTCCAGGGTATTCAAAGAGAATACTTTATTTCTCTTCTAAAGATTTTTAAGAAACAATTCCATTTTTAACATCCAAATGATTTCCTAACTATAAAACTCATAAATCAAAGTGAAATTACTGTTAAGTGTCTAGGAATGTGAAGGCATCTAGGGAACATATAGGTCATATCTGAACAGATTGTGTTTCTTATGCAATGCTTTATAAAATAAAGAACTCCATTACCAGATCCTAGCTTTTATCAGAAAATGATCATTAACATTTTATAATTGTTTACCTCTCTATTTTATGTCCCAAGAAAATGGGCTTCTTCCCCCCACCCTTGAAAGCTGAGTGCTAAATAAAAAGAAAAGACAGTGAATGTGACATCCAGAGTAGTTGCTCAATAAATATTTGTTAAACAAATGAAGTATGAAACAAGACTAGGTTGTGAGTACAAATAGTAATTATAGATAACTGCCCCAGCCTTTCCAAAGTATTGTATTTACATGTACATTGAATCTTTCAAGTAGGCATTTGGAAAGCTAGCAAATAATAATACAAAAAGGCAATTAGAGATTTTAGAAAATAATATAGTTTTTACTTAAATAGCAGTTATATATTCTGTTAAAAAAGTTTAAAAATAATTGTCCTTATTTTATATGATTGTATGTAAAGTAAAAGCTTGTACTTTTCTGGATTAAAAGACTACAAATGAGAATAAATGTGTAAAATACTATTCTACTGGAAGGTAATTAAGACAATTTATAGAAAACACTGAAACTAGGAGCCAATCATCCATCATACTAATTTAGCTCTACGTCTGTATTCTGTCACTAATCTTAGACTAGTTGCTTGTCTATGCCTCAGTACCTTAACTTATAAAAGGAAGATATGATAATCAGAAAAATGGAAAATAACAAGTGTTGGTGTGGATGTGCAGAAATTGGAACCCTTGTCCATTGGTGGTTAGGATGTAAACTGGTACAGCTGCTGTGGAAAATGTTTGGCAATTCCTCAAAAAACTACCATAAACTTTTTTTACTCTTAGGCAAAATGTCAAGTCCAGAAGACTTGAAAGCAAGAACTCTTAACATATACTTGTACACCATTGTTCATTGCAGCATTTTTCACTTAGTCGAAATTTTGATTGTATATTTAAATGTTCATCAATAGATGAACAAATAAACAAAATGTAGTATATACATGGAGTTCTGGTCTTGCGCTGTAGGATTAGCACTGGACTGCTAACCGCAAGGTTGCCAGTTCAAACCCACCAGCTACTCCTGGGAAAGCCTGCACAGGGTTGCTATGAGTAGGCATTGACTCAACAGCACTTAACAAGTATATACATACAATGAAATATTATTCAGTCATAAAGAGAAATGAAGTTCTTATATATGAATGAACCTTGAAAATGTTATGCTAAGTAAAATAAGTCAGACACCAAAGGATAAATAATGTCTAATCCCACCTATATGAAATGTAAACAAAGACAAAGGCTTAGACATGAAGTGTGTCAGTGGTCACCAGCGGCTGGGGGAGAGGAATGAGGAGTTGTTCTCAGTGGGTCCTGAGCTTCTCTCTGAGGTGATGACAATGTTTTGAAGATGGCTGGTGTTAGTGTTACACAATATTGACACTGTAATGTCACTGAATTACAATGGTTAACATGGCAAAGTTTGTGTTGTACATATTTTACCACAATAAAAAAAATTTTAAAGAAAAAAGGGAAGCTATAATAAAGACCTTACCTATTTTTCTCACAGAGTTTTCAAATGATTTCTAGATTTAAGACATTAATTTAGATTGAAAACTGGCAAAAAGCTCAGATAAATACATTTTGATAGCAGTTTTTACATTGTCATGTGAAAGATTAGAAAAAATAAGTAGATAGGAAGGATATGCAAAAGAGCAAATTCTATGATACATCAAAGGATTAATACTCAACCAGTCTCATCTGTCTTCTGTATTTATTATAGTGTGTTGTAACCATTGATTTTTATAATGAATCTGGCATCATCCAGTATCCTACAGGGACTTCTGAATAGCTGAAAACTGAAAAAGTATATTTTCTATAACTTTATTCATAAGCTTATTTGGTTATAGTTTAATTATTTAAAAATTCATGCATAGTATTTTCTGCTAACACTCTGCTCTCTGGAACATAGGAATAAGATTTCATTTGTAGACAATGGATTTTTCTATAATGTATTTCATTTCTATAATGAACCATTTCAATTCTTCAAACTAAATTCTCTTACTGACTGACTGAATACTGACATGTTTATCTTGTTTCTTTTCATCACTATAAACCACCACTTCTAAGTGCAGAACTGGTAAATCTAGTAACCTTTATGACCTTGAAGAAACATTGTACTAAGACTGTGTTAACGAATTTTTAGTTCTCCAAACCTTTTGTGGTAACTGTGGGTCACTATCTTTGGTCACTAAATTTTACATGTATAGTTTTTTTCTGCTCAGAACTAAAGTAAGGAATCAAAACGTTACCCTAGCATTGCTAATTATAATGCGGAAGCAGCTGCACCAGTCATTATTTCTTTTTAAATCTTTCAATATGGATACATGGCTTCATCTTTTTCATTTCTGTAAGGTTTCAGCATTTTTACATCTTTTTTTGAAATAGGTAAACTTTAGAGAGAGAAATCCTTAAGAGGATGAGACATATGAATATACTAAATATGTAAATGAACACGATTTATACTTTAGGAGAGTGGGCTTTGAAACTAGGGAATATTTTTCAATTTTTCCCTGTGTTTAGGTCTATTACCATGGCTACCACGGGGATACTTCGGAGACGTTTTTGGTGGGCAGTGTGGATGAATGTGGTAAAAAGTTAGTGGAGGTTGCCAGGAGGTGTCGAGATGAAGCAATTGCAGCTTGCAGAGCAGGGGTTCCCTTCTCTGTAATTGGAAACACAATCAGGTAAGTCTGACACTGACAAGTAAAGGGAGGGTTGGCAAATGGTACAAAGGTTATTGGTGGCTTGGTATGCAGTTGATGACATGTTTTATGATTCAGAACCCTCGTTTCAGTTTGATATCAGTATGTGAACTGCCAGGCTACAATGTTGTTATCTCATGTGTTTTGTTTTGTTTTTAAAACGGTTTTTTAAAAAGTGAGTTCAACCAGGTTCAGCAAATAAATTTATAGTCAATCACATCAAACGGTATTTATATAGCTGCCTCAGTTTTAGCTCACCACGTTGGTCTATGGTGCAATGCACCTTTTCTCAAAATTACATCAAATCTGGAAGTAAGTAGCTAAGAGGGGCTAAACATCCCAACCCTTGGATAATAAGACAGGGAAAAAAGCAAAATTTTAATAAAGGGATGAAGCAAAACAGATCCCCTATGAAAGAAACAAAGATAAAACATGTTAGCTCAAGCAAGCCTTACCTTTCAAATTAGTATATTAGTATGTTAGAAAATAGTTTGGTTCATTTTTCTTGTAAACTATTGTGTATTGCTTCGTTTCTGCAAATCACCCCCTGCCTGCTTTTTGAGTATATGGATAGTTTCTGAATTCAAGATTTTTCTTTGTCATCTGTTACCTACTTTTAGGTTATTTTTTCCCCCATAATTGTTCTGAAGTAGACATTTAGAGTCTGTGTTTTCTGTGTAACACATTTTGTTCAAGATGATCACATCAGTTCCCGTTAAAGTACTGTGTTCTCATTAATATGAACCATTGAATACTTCCCACTTGCCTAAAGGATGGGAGGCTTAGTCACCTTGAAAAGATGCTGCCTTATCCCCCCTCCCGTAAACCTTCAAATACTTTAAGAAAAAAGGCAGTAAAATATCAGTTAAATGTATTTATAGCTTTAAAAATATTGTAACAGTGTCTGAATCAAACTTTAGTAAAATCTCTTTGGGCTATATCTGAGAAGCTTTTATTGAAGACTTTGAACAAAATTGTGTTTTTGACAGTTTTAAATTATAGGCTAACTAGCCTGGGAAAAAAGATAGTGTCTCTCTGTTCTTTCATAGGAAATGTTGAATCAGACCCCTACTGGGAAAAGAAATTTAATGCATATCTCACTATCTTACTGTCCATGAATATAATAGAAATGAATTCAAAATGCAGTTTTATTTTTGCAAATGGGATGAGTCGATAGATGCACCTCATATTTTTGAACACCTAGGGTTCAACAAATTTACTGGTGGTGCTCTTGCATTTTAACAAAATTTATTCTTCAGTAGAAGGGGGCAGAGAACACTAGATTCTTATTCAAGCATTCTATGGAGCTCTGCATTCAGGGCTGTGTCTAAAGGGCATGTCAGCCTTTGATTCTCTCTGAGAGGTAATTATCCTTTTCCTGTCACGGAACAACAAATGATAGCTAACTACAGAGGCACATTTGCAGTAGTCACATTCATCAACTGCAGAAAAAAAATTCAATTTAATTGTGCAACACAGCTGCACATGGGCTTTTGAGCATTTCTGTTGTTTTCCCTGTCTCGCTATTCCTCCCTCCAGATCTATTTTTTAAACTTTTTTTCTGGTTATTTTTTCCCCTTTTTGTCTCTTCTTCCATTTTTACTCTCTGTACTTTCTTGTTAAAGTAATTTTCCTTTGTGGCTCTCATTCTTTTTTCCCCATTGAAGGCTATGAATGTAGAAAATTATCACAATTACTCATATAATTGAGCCTCTTTGTAGCAAGTGCAACTCCAGTAGCCTTTCTCCATCATGAAAATGGTTTCATTATAGGGTTTTTCATATTCTCTGACACCATCCACACAGAGGAACAGGCGTGCAGATGAGATGTACTAGGAACAGGCTGGATCAGTAAGGTCACAGTAGGAATAATTAGCTCTGCTATGGAAAGAGCATCTAGGCCTTTTACTGCTACATAAATGTACTGTCCGTGGCTTTTAGTCACAAAAAAACTTACTAACAAATGGAGCTCCCGCCTACTACTTTGAAAAAAAGATTTGTATCAACACTACAATTTTCCATCATTAAGACTAATAACACAGAGCCTAGTATACATCAAGGGGAATAAAAAGAAAAATCTCACATTCAAGTGGCGGCTGGGTGCTGACCTTTGTTCCCTTTTTTTGTGTACGACTTAACTCTTTACAAAAAAGAGCCACACGCCACACCAACATGCAGGTGAACTCCAGCTAGTACTAGCAAAGCATTCAGTCGGAAAATCTGATAAATCTCCATGCAGGATAATGCATTTCATTACATATTCACTACATTAATTCTAGCTACATTAAAAAAAAGAAGAAGAAGAAGAGTAGAATTGAAAGTGACATTGGATTTTAGCTATCTGGATGCAAGGTCAGTTTTTCATAGAGTACCAATTTGCATGTGCAGGCTCCTTTGAAAACCTGATCAGTCCCAACAGTCGCACTTACAGAACTATGCGGAAAATAATAGACAATGAACTTTTTACTTTTACCCTAGTACATTTCATTATTTAGATGGTTTGTGTCTGTCACTGGGGAGGGAACTGGCCCTGTCTCGAACAAATGTTTCTTCTGAGATGTTAAAAGCCAGTGTTTCTAGATGTCTGTTACTTTGCATTTTCGTATTCAGGCAAAATCTTAAGGAGTAAATAAACAGTTGCCACCTTGAAGTCAAAAGTACTTGGAGTCATTAAAAACTGGAGGTTTGCACACTCCTTTCCACTCTGTTGTAATTATTTTAAGATAGTCACCATCTTTTCCATAGCCTCTCTCTCATGGTACACTATAGAACGAAAATTCAGGCGTCTTTAGGTAGTGTCATCATGTTGCCAAAAACCCAGAGAGCTTTATAGGAAGATTTAGAAATTCTCCAGTGAAATCTAAAAGATAGCAGACGTCTCTGAAAATATATAGGCAAAACTGACTGAATGAGAAGAGTTTTCTGTATGTCCTTCCACTTTGTGAGGGATACCTAGTGATCTTTAGACTGCAGTGTTGTTAGATTACTCATACCTCCATTAGGTTGAAAATATTTTCAAATATGTATTTTTGTAATTATTGCTAGATGATGATTTGGACATATGAGAATACTGTGGATGTGTAGATTCATTCATCACAAATATGTGACAGTTCCATCAAAAATAATTTAAACTTATAGTTGAAAATGGCATGATCAAAGTATCAATAAATGGTTTTTAATGTTTAATTCATAAGTATATGTTTTGATATTAATTTAGAACAATATAAAGCAGATTTAAAAAAATAATCTCTTTTCTATTAGATTATGCACATTTAAACAATAAGTGGCTCAGGCAAAATAAGTCATTTTAATGTCATCTGTGATGGATTTTTCTTGACAGCTACTGTAAATTACAATTATACTGCTTCTCTCTGCACATGAAAGTAAGCATTGCAATAAATTATCTTTTATTTCAATCCATCATGTCTGCTTTTCAGAAACAGAAAACCTCAAATAAAAGTTCAGCACGACTGTAAGAAAAATACAGTAATTTTTGATCCAGTTTGAAACAAAAAATATGTGCCATTCTTTTGGAAAACAGTTGTTGGCTCTCAAAAATATTACTAATTGTACTTAAACATTCCTTGTCATTAGAAGGAATCCGTGAACTTGTGAATTCCTTCACTCAAAAGCTGCTGTGTAAAACAAAATCTGGAAAGCTTAAAGTGAAATTCCATAACTTACAAAATTAGGTGTCCCTTGAGACATAAAAATCTATTAAGTAATTTATCTAAGCATTTCAATTGAATATAACCGCCTCATGAAAGGAAATTACATGGAAGAAAATGGCCACTGGATGAAATGTCTTAAAATTTTTCTTTCCACTATAAATATAACCGAAATATGTGTAGTTTTTTGTTTTTGTTTTGAAGTGCTGTCGTGTCAGTTCCAACCCACAGAGACCCTGTATAGGGTTTCCAAGGAGCAGCTAGTGAGCTTGAACCACCGACCTTGCGGTTCAGATCGACTTTGCAGTCCATTGCAGTAACCCACAGTGCCACACCAGGACTCCAGATGTTTTGTATGAAGGGCTTCAAATCATTAATGTGCTCAGGCTCTTGGATAGGTAGGTGCTCTACTGTCTTAGAGACCTTTTAGTTAAGGAAAATCAGAACAGAAGAGTTACTATATCCAGAGAGCTATGTTCAGTACTTATCAGACAATAAGAGGGAAGATTTCATGAATGGAAATATCCAGAGCAAGAAGACCACTGTGCTCAGAAAGGAGTCATGGCCTCCATGGCTGGCGTTGGAGAGCCATTCCCCTACTTCCGGGACACTCCTGCCTGCTCAGCTATTTTCATTTCCCTCTCCATGTTCATCAAGAGGGGCATCTGTGCCCTATATCACCATGCCAAAAGTAGTGTTACCAACACTTGTTAATGTTCAAGGAGTGGAATTTACTACTTCACGTATCTGGAATTGTCTCTGTGAAGTATGATTTAAACCCTACAATCAGGTAACTAGTCATGTGTTCCCAAATAGTAGAAGGGGCATGATTTGAAGCAGTAATTAAGAACATTCATGAGATTTTTATCCCTTTTCATTCCAGTAAATGTTAAAAACTGTGTACCAATCCCAAAGGAAAATACATAAAGAGCAAACAGAAATGTACACTTAGCTTCTGGGAATCAAACATTGAGATGGGCAGATGATGCTCAGCCAAGGAACAGAGGGAAATGTGCCCTGTGCTTTTCCTCTTTCCACCCTTTGCCTCCATGACACTCCTATAGCCAGAAGCTCCTATAGCAGGAGTCCAGGGAGTAAGCTGTCTTCAGAATACACTCAGATATCTCTGGCCACCTGGTAATCACACAGCTTCTTTTATGAAGAGGAATGAGAGGTATGACGGGGAGACCATTGCTCAAAGTGGGCTTTCTTCTTCTCCTCATATTGGAAATTAAAATTAAGATTGCTTCTGCAACACACATTTAAAATGTGATGCCTGCCAATCAGTTAGATCCTTAGTAATGATAATTCAAAAAAAAAAAAAAAGTTTTGCTATTTGTTTAAAGAAAAGAAAATAGAAGAACAATGTATATTGAATGTTCTTAGAATCATTGAGGTTTGTTGGAACTAAGCTAACATAATTTATAGTTCAGGTAGAAGCCATTCTTCTAAAAAAATATACAAGTATAGATTATGTCTTATTTAGAAACATCTCGTCTACCCTCTATCTACTTTCCATCTTCAGTTTAGAGTCAGAAATTGTGTGGTACAACTACATATATCTTGGAAAAGGTGTTATACGGCCTTGCTCAAAGTGCAAAGATCCACAGTTAAAAAATAACTATATAGGGCAACTTATCAGATAAGAATGTTAGGTCATCATTCCTATCCTCAACATATGCATAATTTACCTATTTCTATGCTAGTAGTTGGAGTCCTGGTGTGGCGCTGTGGGTTAATGTGCTGGACTGCAAGGTTAGTTTGAACTGCAAGGTCGGCGGTTCAAGCTCACCAGCTAGCTGCTCCTCTCCATGGCACTTAACAACCGACTTCATGGCACTTAACAACAACAACAGTGCTATTAGTTACATGGATAGTAAATCTGAATGCGAAATTGCTTGTCTGCTGGTTATAGTGACATCCTATAACCAGCATCCTATGTCCTATGTAAGTGAAGATGTCTTACAAGTCCGCCCATGAAGATTTAAAATGTTTTGAGAAAAAGAAATAAAGACACAAATACCCACAAAGATACAAGCTAAAAACTGAGTCCATGTTAAACTAAATATAAAGTCTGCTAGAAACTAGTTTGGGACCTATAAATTTCAATCTGTTGTTCTGTTTAGGGTTAAGGGCATAATGCCCTTCATCTACATGAAAATATGAATTGTTACTGGTATATATGTCTGTATCTTTCCAGTGTTCCCAGAAATAAACATGTTCACCTGATAACAACACTGTATGTGAAGATTTTAGGGTTGGACTCAATATGCTAGAATTCATTTGTATCAGCTAGATGGAACCCAAAATACTTGCATCATGAAGTAACCAATGAAACATTAGATTTAGAAATCATAATAGTAGCATCTCTTAGTATCAGAGTGATTAAAATAAAAAAAAAAAAATTTTAGTAATGATGTAGGTCTTGAGTAGAATTCCTGAATTACAAAGTTTTATGGTTTCAAGAATATTGACAAAGCAGATTAGACCTTTTGTGTTAGTGTGTCTATTTGTAAAATGTTCATTGTCTTGAAAATAAGCCAGAATAAAAGGAAGTCATAGTTTTAGATGGTTATTATTTTTGTTGTTTTTTGCACAGTTGTAATTTGCACAGTTCTTTTGTGAATCCCCTTAAAAACCAATAAGGTTTTTCTGACTTGCGGTAAATGCAGATGGATCTTGGCTATGTATAGTCAGTCTGCATAAGTGTGTGTGACACTCATGTTGTCTAAAAGTGGCTTTGTGTGAATATTGTACTAAGATAAAGGAAGCAAATTACTGTGTTAGACACATATCTTCTTGTTTCATATATCCAAAGGAAGTTGTTAACAATAGCAAAAAATGAAATTATTCCAGAATAATTAAATCATTAATGATATTATCTGATGAAATATATCTAATTTTTTTCTTTTTCAGATAATTTAAAAAAAAAAACTTTCCAAGCAAACAAAAGGTTGTTATGAAATGTCTTACCTCATTATAAATTAAATAGTATTTCCTAGATGACATTTATGGGTAAATTATAAATTTTTTCTACAAGTGTATTTAAGTAAAGCATAAGCTGTTATTATTTATATACTGTTTAAATTTAATAATATTTTGTGTTTTAGGTGAAAGTTTACACAGTAAATTAGGTCCACTGAAACAACTTTTATACAAGCTGTTCGGTGCTGTTGGTTACAATGTTTGCAATGTGCCAATCAGCATTGTCATTATTTCCATTCTGTTTGTTCTGTTTTCATTAATCTAGTTTCCCTCTAACTCTTTGTCTTCTCACCTTTGTTTTTTGAGTAAATATTGACAGTTTGGTCCCATACAGTTCATTGTTTGATGAATTGTATGACTGACAGGTAATCTTGTTTATTTTGTAAGACGCTCTGTTCTTTGGCTGACTAGAAGTCCTGGTGTGGCACTGTAGAATCAGCACTATACTGCTAGCCACAAGGTTGGCAGTTCAAACCTACCAGCTATTCCTTGGAAACCCTATATAGGGTTGCTATGAGTCAGAACTGACTCGATGGCACTTAACAATAATAGTGACCCACAAGAGGCCTGGTGTGGTACTGTAAAATAAGCACTGGACTGCTAGCTGCAAGGTCAGTGGTTCAAACCCACCAGTCGCTCCTTGGAAAACCTATACAGGGTCACTGTGAGTCCGCACTGACTTGGTGGTACTTAACAAACCTCAATTCCATGTTCAGTCATAGACTCTAGTCGCTTTCAGTTCAGTGTGTCTGGCCTTTTAAAATAATTTGAGTTCTACTTTTCTTTTTTCCATTCTATCCGGGACCTTCTGTTGTGTCCCTGGTCAGAATGATGGGTATTGGTGTCCAGGCCCCACCTAGTTTTCCTGGTTTCAGGTGTGATGAGATTGTAGGATATTGTTCGTGTGAGCTATTAGTCCCATGGATTCGTCTCTTCCTTGATCTTTTGATTTCCGGCATTCTATTTTGCACCATAGAATTGGAGACCAATAGCCTTGGTCTGTTGCTGTTGTTGTTAAGTACCACCCATAGTCTTGTTCATCTTTTTGTTAGGTGCCATTGAGTTTGTTCCAACTTACAGTGACCCCGTTTCTGAGGGTTTCTGAGGAGTGGCTGTTGAGTTTGAACTGCCGACCTTGTGATTCAAATTGATAGTGCAGTCTAGTGCTTATCCCACTGTGCCACACAAGGACTCCATAGTTAAATCTTAGTCAAAGAAGAGTTAAAGAGTATTTTAAAGTGATTTTGTTTTATCTAAGTAGGCATTAAAAACTTATGTACATCAATTAAATATTTTGTTTGGTCGTTTTTAAAGCTGCATAACTCATCAGAATGGTTTGCAAGTCTGCCCACATTTCATTGGACATGGAATAGGATCTTACTTTCATGGACATCCAGAAATTTGGCATCATGGTAAGAAGTGCAGCTTTGCTCTTGAAGTCTTTCCTACAGCTTTGAGTCCATACTGTTATTTTGTGGGGAGATCTGTGTGGGGAGGAACTACTTCATCTTAACCAGTGCATCACTGTGTTACTGCATTAGAAACCAGCAGTTTCAGTCCCAAAATAAGATTTTTGTTTTTTGTCTTCTCCTGAAGGGTACATGACTGGAAAGCACAAGGGATATTTGTCTAGAAAAAGTTACTGAAAACAAAACCCCACTGCATTAATGTCCCAGCAGCATGCACATATAACTGTTTTCTGTTTTTCCTTTGCTACCCCCTTTTCTAACCGCTGACTGTTGTGGTTAAACTTCATTACATCCTACACAGCGTTGACAGCTGATGTATTTAGCAGCATGTACTCTTTAGTGATTTCTAGATTATACCCACCCTTGTGATCCTTCTCCAGAATCTCCTGTTTGCCACTGCTGGGTGTGCGCTCCTGCAGGGAGAAGGCAGGGGTGAGCCGAGGGGTCTAGGAGGTTTCAGTTATGGTAGGAAGTAGCTCTTTGGAGCAGACCCCCTAAGGGAAGTAGTGCATACCTGAACAGGAACCAAAGGAAAGTTGGTCTTTGAGCCTTGACCTGTGGACTCGGTCAGTCCTTTCACTTAATAGTCCTGACCACTGGTGGCAGGGGAGGCAGTCTCTGAAGGAATCCATCCCTGAAGGATCCTTGGAGACCCAGTAGGTCAGAATTTCTTTCAGACCAGAGTCCCACCTGATCTGGCTCAAGAGAGGGTCATACAGAAGTGCAGAGAGGGCCTTTCAACCTTGCTTCCCACCCAGCCCCCAAACCCAGAGTTATTTCACAAGTTGTATACCCTCTGCTCTTGCCTCTTCCCCCATGAACTCAGGAGGCTGCCCTGGGGTTGCACACACTTCCTTAGGGAAGCCTGACTTCTTTCTTTTTGGGGTGGCATGGTGGTGAGACCTTGCAGGACAGAGGCCTTGGGGGAGTAAGGGGAGGGGGCCGAGCCCAGCAGTTGTGTGAAACACCTAGACTGCCACTGCCTGCCTTTTGGGGCTTTTTCCCAGGGTGTGTGACCCCATGCACAGGCAGACAAAGGGACAGCCAAGGCCCAGGAGCTGTGTGCTTAGCCCCAGTGGTAGCTACCACCCAGAACTCTAGAAACCTCTACTTCTCTGTCTCCCCAAAAAGATAAGAAATAAAATGACAGGAGTTTTTTTTAGCAGACCCCCAACCCTACATTCCATTTGTTCTTTTTGTCTCATGATTTCCCACTCCCTTTTCCCCCCACCTCATGTTTTGTTTGTTTTGCAGCCAATGACAACGACTTGCTCATGGAGGAGGGCATGGTGTTCACCATAGGTCAGTGCCCAGATGCCTCTTCCTCGGTGGCTCTTCTATCTGAAGTGGCATGCTGGTCTAAGCCAGGCAGTCCCTTAAGGACTAATAAAGTCAATCAGTGTAATTAAATAATTCGGATGCATAGTAAATCTGATTATATAATATCCTCGAGCCATCTTCCTAAATCAGATACTTACCGACACATTTGGGAGACGGCAGCCATCCAACCTCTAATTCTGTTACCAACATAATGTGGTGTTTTTGTTTTTGTTTTTTTTTTCCTTAATGCCCAGTAAGTAGGGAGGATTATGTGACTTGCTCCCTGTCAGCAAGTGGCATGTGCTCTCTGACGGGCCCATTTCTGGCTGGTCCTATGATTGGTGTCACCTCCAGATTCCAATCACCCAGTGGCATGAAGGCACTATATTTCTTACTGTGGGGCTTAATCGAGAAGTAATTAGAGTGAAATAAGAAAATTGTTATTTGCTGATTAATGAACATTTTGAGCATGTTTTAAAAATTCAAATATTTGTTAAAACTGCCTGGTATTTATAAAAGGGACTGGTGTTTGGGTGGCGGTTATCCACAGGGTCCTAATTAAGGCTTGATTAAAATGCCCTTCTTTCTCTAAAAAATTATGAACTAGACAACTTCATACATTTTTGAATGCTGTAGCATTTCCTTTTCCTACTGTTTAGTTTGTAGTATACAGTGTAAGCAACATCAATTATCAGCCCTTACAAAGTGACAACATGAGTCCCTGGGAGAAGTATTTTTTGGGGGGGGGGGACCTTCGTATTCTCTTTTTTGACAATCAACCGAAATAATGTTTGACAAGAATCTGATGAGGTCATTGCAGTAAATATTTTCCCTCTTCCAGAGCCAATCATCACTGAGGGATCCCCTGAATTTAAAGTTTTGGAGGATGCATGGACTGCGGTCTCCCTAGACAATCAAAGGTGTTTGCTTTCTACCTTGTTGCGTTTCAATTACATGTGAAGGGATGACTCCCCTAAAGGCTATGGCTGGCGAGCAGCAGCTCCTGGCCCTTGGGGTTCACAGGAGTCCTGACCCAGGCCATGTGTGTTTCAGGTCAGCCCAGTTCGAGCACACAGTTCTCATCACTTCCGAAGGCGCGCAGATTCTGACCAAACTGCCTCATGAGGCCTGAGGCTCGAAGGGCACAGCCAACTAATAATGCCTGCTTTCCTAAATTGTTGAAAGCCTGCTTTCCTAAATTGTTGAAATCCAGCTGGAGAGTTTTCAGAAGACACGGGTGATTAAGATCAATGGCTTGAGCGGTACCCTACCTAGCGCATAATAAACTGTAGGGATTAAGGACAGTTTGGGATACAGAGCTGAAGCCCTTTCATTTGGAGATGAGGGGTTTCCCAGAGGAGCAGGCTTTTCGGTGGTCTCTCCTGTCCTGACTGCCTGAATAAAAAACATTCACCTCTTAAACCCAATTGTATCTCTGACAGTTATTGGAGGGAAAGGGTAGGTGGTTAATTTTTGAGTCTGAACTTTTCACACAAGCACTCGTACGCCAAAAGGAAAACCCGAGAACCTCATTGTTAGCTGGGAATTTTTTGAAAATAATTTTTCCCCTTGGGGCTCCCACACTGATCGTACCCAAGGGTGCTCGTCGGGGTCAGCGCCTGCCCAGTCAGCCCTTCCGTTCGTTTTCCCTTCCTAGCTCGCAGGCGGAATCCTTTAGTTACAAACATTTCCTTTTGACTGGGGATCCCCGGCCTGGGCCATCGGCAGGACCCTCCTAATCCTGAGACGCGATGCTTGGGGGAGGCCCACGTCTCCCTACTTCCCGCAGCCACTCACAGCTAACCCAGAAGTTAAACTGAAGACACTACCCTCGTCTGGTTCCTCCTCACTTCCCAAAAGACATGAGCGAACGGTCTGGCCACCCAGATGTGAGCCGCAAACCACGCTCAGCTGGCGGTCTAGCCCCTACGATGACTTGCTCCCCTCTTGACCTGTGTCCAGACGCTGCTAGACCGCGAGTGCTGGGTTTTCTGGAGACCCAAAGGATTCTAGTCAGCGGG